TTTTCCCGTTTTCTTCACTTCTCCCATGTGCTTCGCTTTCCTCTCCATCCATTCACATTCTTCCTCCTCTCTTTTTTCTTTCTTTTAAGAGTTATCTATCACAAAATGGGCCTTAGAGATGCATCATGGGCCTTATACATTATAACCAAATTGGTTACATAAGTGTAGTTCTATAATCTGCATAAGGAAAACAAGAGGCAAAAAAGGAGGGAGTAGTAGTCAAGAAAACCAAGCCTACTTTCACTCTTTACCAAGAAATAAAAGGGATCACAGAGAAACTCACCCACGTGTAAATATCTCACGTTTTCTTTTTTCTCTCAGAATAACCAGACTTTGGCTTCACTCATCACTACAAAATCCTTCATTTTCTCTTCTTTAACAAAACTGCTATACATTGTGTTTTCTCCTCTTTTTTTTTTGCTGTGTCGAATTTGTACGTGTATATATAGAGTCAGACTAATAAATTAGTTTTCAGGCTTCACTTAACACAAAAGGATCTACTATACTAAGCTAGCTGTTTTTTTTTTCTTTTTGGATGGGATTAAAAAATATAGAAAAGATGCAACATCATTCGGAGAAGACGATGAAGCAACCTATTTGCCCTAAGCCACGTCGTGTGTGTTCTTCTCTTCCGGACTTTCTCAAACCTCTCTCATGTTCCTTACACTCCACCACCTGGTAATACACCATGTTTTAGATTGTTTTATGTGTATACACATTTTCGTTTTACGTTTGTGTTTACGCATATTTGATGAAAAAAACCTAAGGCTGTGATTGGTTTTTCTTTATATTTCTCGAGGCCTGTATGTTTCTTGAAATTTATCATGATGATGACTCGTCCATTTTTGTGCTTTTTTCAGCCAACAAAGTTCAGAAGAAATAAGCGGCGTTCTCAACATAATGGACAAGGTCATACGTTCTTTCCATTTGTTATATATACAAAATAGATATGCCCAAACTTGAATTTATTTTTTGATGCATGGTTCCCTTGAACACGCTCATAATGAACCATCATGTTACGTACTGATGTTAAATATATACTAATTGTGGTAGATGCAGCCAATAGAAGGTGGAACGAGAGAGTCAATGTGGTACGCAGGATCTCCACCTAGAAGAACCGGGAATCCTCTTGTACATGACCTTCACTTCATTCACTGCCTCGACCTCCTTCCCAATTTCTCAAGAACCAAGGCTTGATCTAATTCACATCTTAGGCTACGTACCTCTCCTGCTATATGTAGCATGCATCGTGTCCAAAACAAAACAAAAACTCCCTAAATACACTATACAACTGATACACCGATCGATCTCCGCGTAAAGATAGGTGTGTTATCAAAATCCTAAAACATAGACCTCATCAACTCAACGGTTTATACACATGTATGCATCTCTTACTCAACAAGTTTGGAGTTTATTCTTTGTAGAAATGTATTTGGATATTATCGATCAAGAAGAGCCCATATATGTATTGAGATCATGCACAATAGTGCGTCCAACTCGTAACTTAGTACACAAATCAACAAATGCATAGACTTATATAGAAAAGGTTATTAGAGCATTTTTTKTGRTKKWAWWAWTGGGGTGTATTGAAATATAAAATTAATAAAATTTGAGTAAAGAGAAGAGATAGTGGGTATTTTTGGAGAGAGCGTATCAAATAGTTGATACTTTTGATACTTTTGAAGAGAGAAAGAGTGTGTTTTTAATAATTTTATATTTAAAGAGAGTATAAAATTAATAAAAGTTGAGTAAAAGGATGAAAGAGAAGGTATAAAGTTGAGTAAAAGGAAGAGAGAGTGTGTGTTTTAATAATTTTATATTTAATGATACCCATGTTGTATCACTAATGCAGATGCTCTTAAGAGACATAGATAGGATTTGGATGCTCTTTATGATATAGTAATTGGATTTCTTACATTTTCTCTTTTTACACATTCATATAATTTTATATATGACTTGGTCGAACCGGTCCTACCAGGAATCGTTAACAAAACCGAGTCCGGTTGGAGTTAGAAACCGGATTAGAATTAAACCGCTAAACCGGCCAAAACCCGGTAAAACCGGCGATCCGGTTTGATATAAAAATCCGGTTTAGCAAAATTTAAGTCATAATTTGGTTCTTTTTAGAAAGTTTAAGGCTAATAATTAATGACATTTTATTGCATTAAATTCAAATTAGTTGTCTTTTTGAAAAATAATTAAATCACATTTATTTCTATTTGTAGTTTTCAATTCTATGGAAAATCAAAAAGTCTTCCAAAATCATCTCAAACAATTTTCAAAATTTAAAGCAAATATAACGTGGTTTTTGAAAAATTAATTAT